CTTTCCTGCCTTCCTTCCTTCTTTCCTTCCTTCCTTCGTTTCTCCTTTCTTTTCTTCCTCCCTGTCTCACTCATTAACCTAATTTTTCAAAAATAATTGACAAAATCAAAATTTAATTGGTAAATCATTCTAAAATAGGTCAAATTTTTGATTGAAAAAATATTAGAATGCAAAAATTTGAAATACTTTACAGGATTAAGCAAATACAAATTAGCACAAATCAGAAATTATATTAAAATATTGAAAATTATCATTTAATACAAAATGCTACAGACTTTTATCCAGAATTTTTCGTTTTGATTCTAATTTGGCATTGTTAATTTCATCGCCAACAATTAATTATTGAATTCTCTCAAAGCACTTTTTTAAACTTGAATTGAGGATTTTTAAGTTTCAAATTTGAATTTAATCAGTTCTGAAGCGATTTTTTTTTTTGTTCCTTTTAAATTATTTGGTTTTATTCAAATTGTTTGCGATGAATTAATTAATAGCAATTAGAACAAATAATTAATTAACATTCAAATTTATACATTTCTTCACTTCAAACATATAACAATTCATTGCATAATTACCACAAGAAACAATCGAATAGAATATAGAATATTTAATTAAGTATCTTATAATACGATGAATTATGAAAATAATATAAATCACGATTGCATCATGTCCTTCCAATGGATGGCACTTAGTTGACAATAGCGAATATTTGAAGCCATAAGCTATTAGCAATTAAATAATATATAAATTAGTGCCAAATTAACATAACTCATTCTTTATTTAAAACACATTAATCAAACTTAAATACTCAATAAATGAAAATTAATGCAAAATTAATAAAATTCTTCCTTAATTCAAAATGCATTAATCAAGTGTTCAAATTAGTGGATGAAAATTAATGCAAAACTAATAATGTAACAGTCAAACTCAAATACTTAATAACTGGAAAGATGACAACTTAAGTTACAATTTACCGAAGGATGTAAATCAATGGGACGGAAGAATTTGACATATAAAAATCACTTTTGATGTCTCAATGCATAGAAATAAGATAGAAAACATAGAAAAAAGTATTATTTAATACAATTTATTATAACAAAACATATGCTTAAATTGGAAAAATTTTTCAAAAAAATAAATTTAAACTTTATATTTGCATAAAAAAATAAAACAAATAATTTAAAATTGCTGTCATTCAAACTTTCTATAATACCCGCATTGACAAAAAAAAAAAAAGAAAAAAAAAGGAGGACGATGACAGATGACAACAAAATAAAATTTCCGGAAATAAAATCAAGGAATTTTTCAGTAATTTTCTTTCAAAATTTCATTTCTCATTTATTATTCAGCAATTTCAATCCATTATATTTAATCAGAAAAATTTCACAAGTTAAATACTTGCTAGAATGAGTGGTGGTGGTGGTGGCATCTTTGTTGAAATTCCGGAAATCGGTGATTCCGGTGATGATGTCAATGGTTCGGTTAATGATGTTGGCGAATTGCTAAGATGTTGTGATAATGTCAATGCTATCCTTGATTGTGATTGTGTTACATCTGCATATTTCTTCTGTAATTTGAAAAATTAAAAAAAAATTAAAATTGTTAAAACTTGGGAAAAATTTTTAAAATTCTAAGTTTTTTAATTTGTCAAAAAAAATTTTAAATAAAAAAAAGAAACCTTTTGTCGTTGTTTTAATCGATTATATGCAAGTAAAACTAGCATAGCAGTTGATAAAGCAAAAATGATAAGAAACAAAAATAGAATTGTAATTTCGAAAAGTTGTGATAAACCATAACGAGCACCAAATAAAATTGTACAATCAGCAACGTGATCAAGTCTAAAAATAAAATATTTGAAAAAATTTTAATAAAAAAAAGTTGAGATAATTTGGAAATCAAAATGAAAATGATAAAAAAAGAAAAAATTATTTGAAATTAAATTTCACTCTTCATTTTAGCATCAAAAATTTCCCTAAAAGTAAATGTTAACAGCTAAAAAAGAAAAGGAAAATAAAAAGGATTAAAAAAATTTGAAATTTTTAATAAAATAATTAAAATATAACATAAAATCTACAATTAAATTCTTTGCTAAATTTTTTGAAAACTAAAATATTTTATGATCAGAAATTTTCGGAAAAACAAATATTGGAAGTTAAAAAGAAAAGGACAAAAGACAGTTCAAAAAAAAAATAATAATAAATTTTTAACAGAAATAGCAAGTAAAAATCTTTTAAAAATTTTTAAAACTAAAAATAAAAAACTTTTTGTTTAAAAAATGTTTTTTATTTTTTTAAATTTTATAAAAATTTGTTTTAATTTCTTTAGTTTTTTAAAAATTCAATAAAAATTTCTTAAAAATTTTTCATCAAAATAGCAATAAAATAAAAATTTTTTCTTAACGAAAATAAAACTTTTTAATAAAAATTTTTAATGAAAATTTGTTCGAAATATACTATAAAATTTATAATTTACTCGGCAAATTTTTTAAATCTTATCAAACAGACTGTATGCTGTTAAATTTGCAATATATTTCTTTGAAAATTACAAATTATTATTAAAATAACAAAAATTGCTATTTATTCTTAATATACTATAAAATTTTTGATTAACAATTATTATTGAAATTTTTTCAATTTTACCAAACATATTATATGTTATTAAATTTGAGATAAGTTATTTCATCTTTTTGTTTTCCTCTTTTAAAATGAAATTTAATATTACCTGTATATAGGTATTCCTTGAAGATTTTCAGGTGTTACGCAATAAGTATGCTCGTATTGTAATTCACGTCGATAAGCGTAGCGATCCAACATATGATGTTTTAGTTCGTCCACGTAACACGTACAATCTAATGGATTACCATGCAAGTTAACCTTAAAAATTAGAAAATAAAAAAAAAAATAAAAATAAAAAGAGAAAGGGATGAAAAGACTACATATTTATTTATAATTACTAATTCATATAAGCTAACAAATAAACATTCTAAAGATTTTGATAATAATCAATAAGATTATTTGTTCCCTAATCTTTATGCTATAATTAATTACTCTAATTAATTAATTCCTTTCTCTCTCCATCCCTCAATATTTGTTCCTTTTGATATTTTCCGTTTTGTAGAAAAATATTATTAATTATTAGCTGTTGTTAGCTAACATAATAATCAATATTATTAATCATAATTAATTATTTGGCAATTAGTAAAAAACAATTTATTTGAGTTTATCTATATAATAATTACTATTATTAATCATAATTAATTATTTGGCAATTAGTAAAGAATAATTTATTTAAGTTTATTAACTATTTAAAATATTTATTTATGCTTAATTATTAAATGTAGGAATAGTTTAAATAGATAACTTGTTAATTTGCTAATCCTTTATTAATTCATCATGAAATTTTCATAAATTTAATTGGAAATAATATAAATTTCAGGAACGAGAGAGAAGGCAAGGAAGAGAGAGAGGGGAAAAGAAAGAAAGAGAGAGGGAGAAGAAAAGAAAGATTGAATATTCTTAAAGATTTGTTTTTTCTTTTTTTTTTTCTTCTCTTCAAGTATCTATAATATTAAATAAAATATATTTACTATATTAAAAGAATTATTTATAAAATTCTTTTAAGTAACGAACATTACACATTCGTTCATATTAAACATCAAATTTACATTTCTTTAAAAATTAAGTTTCAAATTTAAAAATCAAACTTCAGGAATCGAATTTTCTTAAAAAAATTTAATATTTACCAAATTAACTAAATTGGAATTTTAATAATTTCTAATATGAAAGAAAGAAATCAAAAACAAAAACTATTTGATCATGTTTTTTTCACTAGTACTTATTACTTGATAATATAAATTTTATTACTGATATAATAATTCGCCATTCATTTTACCATTATTTTAAAAAATTTTGATCAATTTTATAATTTTAACGATTTCAATGAATTTCGTAACGAATTGAAATTCAAATTTGATGGAATAATAATTGAATGTGATTGATGACATGAAAGCACATGTGCAAATCAACACCAACTATATTAATCAGTTATTATTGACCTATTATCATTAATCAATTATCAATTTCATCTGCTTAGTTTAATACTAACAACTGTTTTAGTACTAACTTTAAATATTATTAAAATTAAATGGAAATAACTTTAAACATTCATAGATTACTTGTGAACAGAAAATATGACCACATCGTACATCATTATTATTACTATTATTATCATTATCGTTATCGTCATCACTATATTATTATTATTATTATTATTATTATTATTATTAT